CATGATGCGAGGGCTTCATAAATGTTGTCAAATTCGTGAATTGGAAAAGTGTGTTGAAGAACTCCACTGTAAACGAAGTTGTCCCTATGCATTAATGGCATGAGAGATTGAGACTGAAGTCAGAGCCAGCCCCAGGGAGTGTTTTGAAGGCAGTGAAGACACACAGACTATGTCAGATGGATAAAGCTCTGAGGGTCTGTCTTGTCTAATTCCTTGGTACACAGATGGGGAAACTAAGGTCAGGGAGGGGTTTGCCCAAGAGCACAGATAGAGTCAGTGGGCCTCCCTTGAAGAGCCCTGCCTCCTCTGCCCGGGCCCCCTTGCTGCCCCATGGCTGTGTGCATGGGCTGTGGGCCCAATGGACCCAGCATCCTGGAGATGGCAGGGAGCCTGGATCTCTAGGTGATGGATGAGCATGCAGTGAGGTCCTGTTGGATGTGGGACCTTGAGCCTGACCTCACTAACCTTTATCAGGGCTTCAGTCTCTGTGCCTGGCACTTCCTGTGTGCTATGCATTTTAGAAATACTATTTTCTCAAGTTATACAGTTCCTGTGAGGTAGGTACTATTATCTGGGGAGAAGTGTGGTGCCCTCCCATGCAGGGCATGAGGTCCTGAGGCCAGGGTTCCATGATCAGCCCCCCTCAGCATGCCCCCTCCAGTATGCCCCTCCAGAATAGTAGGAGTCTTCCCATCAACTGTGATCTTCACCCCCCACCCCTTCCAGCCCAGCACGGAGCCATTCCAGGACAAGCCTATGAACGAAATTGCCAGGCCTGTTTGTCTTGGCTCCAGCTTTTCTCCCCTCCCCTCCCTGGTGGCCGCCTGAGCAGGTGGCCCTCCTGCCAGAGGCCAAGGGTAAATGAGCCAGCAGGCCCAGGTGCGGCCCTGAGCATGGGTCGCTCCAGGCCAGGGGTCCCTCGCTCCCCACCAAGCTACACCCTGCGATGGGACAGTGTGTGTGGAGGGCAGTGGGGACTGTTGAGAGCAGGGCTGGGCTGATTCGGGCTTCCTCTAGATTTGTGGCTTGGCTGCCTTTGTGGCCGACCCAGCGGAAACCAGGCCTTGCAGCTGGTGTCTGCACACTTGTCCTCCCTTGCATGTCTGAGGCCGGGGCAGCAGAGGCTGTGGGAAGGGGCACCAGCTGGGGAGACCTGTGATTCCAAGTCCCCCCGGGGCAGAATCTCACCTCCCTCTGTTCATTCTTGTTTAGATGCTCCATCTGCTGCTTCCTGGCTATGTGTCCTGGTGATGCAACTCTCTTCCTGACCATTCATCTCCCTGTCTATTAAACAAGGGTAGATTTGTGATTTTTTTTTTTTTTAAGCAGAATCTGTCTGGGACTAAGAATTCCCAGAATTGCCACATGGAAGCCTGGGCTGTACTGCTTAAGCAGGCGTCCCGGTGGGAATGTTTCAGCCCCTGCCCCCAGATCCCCTGAACCCCCACCTGTCCTGGGAACCCCCTGAACACCACGTGGAAACAAGTCACTGGATGAGAGGCTCTGGCCTATTTACTCCCTGAGGAATCACACCTCCTCCAAGTCGGGAGCATCCACTGCAAAGGGGCTCCCCCCCTGTTCTCAGTAGGAGAGAGAGGAACTGGAGGAAAAGCTTTCACTGGATTAAAGCAACAAAAAAGCCCGGCTGTCAGCAGGGTGCTCACAGTTCTGTTTTGTTTTTATCTTTAAACTGTGGAGAGGAGAAAAGAAATCTCAGTGGGGTGTTTGCTTTTATTCTATTTCTTTTCACTTTTTTTTTCTTATACAAAGATATGGGCTATATCTGAGTGAGGAAAAGCAAGAAGAAATGGTGTTGTAATGTCTAAAGGGAGGTGGAAGGAGTGAATGTCTTGAATAATATATCAGTGTCTTTACTTTTCACACCATGTACTTGGGGTAAAATTTAAAAAGTAGGAAAGAGTGTTCAGTGAAAAGAAAGTCTCTTGTTGTCTCCCCTCCCTGGAGACAGTCTCTGCTCCCAGTTTCTTGTGTCTTCTAAAGGTATTCTAACCTATATTTAAAAATACCTTGTATGTATTTATGTTATTAATATGTGTTAATATATGTATTTCCAACTAATAATGATTCTATTCTGTACCTTTTTAAATTACCTAATACATCTTGTGGATTGTTGCATTTTACTAACTAAGAAATCACACCTTTTTTTCAAATGCTCATCTGGGGATATGTTTCTTGATTTTAGAGAGAGAGGAAGGGAGAGAGAGAGAGAAACATCGATGTGAGGGAGAAACATCAGTTAAGTCCCTACCCTCTGTGACCGGGAGTCGAACCTGCATCCTGTCAGTGTATGGAACGACACTCCAACCAACTGAGCCACCCCGCCAGGGCTGGAATAACATCTTTTTAAAGGCTGCCTTGTATTTAACTGTACAGAGAAATCAAAAATGTATTATTTACGTAACCATTCCCAAAGGCGGGCGTCTGGATGCAGGTAAACCATGCCTGCGTGAACATTCCCCAGCAGGCTTTGCCTTTCGCATCGCGGAGGTGCGGCTCCCGGGTGGGAGAGCACCTGCCCGCGTGCGGGTGGGGTAAATGGCCACGTGCCTCCGCAGATGCTACACCAGTTTCGCTGCCCTGCCCCGGCGCGCATGAGGTGGCCTGTTTCCTCAAACCCTCGCCAGCACCGCATATTATCCAATATTCTGACCCCTACCAAGCCGACAGGGAAATGATACACCTTTGTAGTCTTAACTCCTATTTGTCTTATTCCAGTGAGACTGTCTTTTCCTGTGTTTAAGAACCATTTTTATTTCTTTTGCTGTGGAAAGAATTTCCTATTCTTTGCCCATTTTTTTCTCGTGGGTTGTTGCCCTCCTGCTTACGCATTGGCGTTGTGTATCTGGATAATTACTTTGTGGTTTGTAATATATGAAGCAAACATTTTGGCCCAGTTTGGGGATTTTATTTGACACTGTGGGGATTTTTATTTTGCTATTCAGAACTTTCAGAATTTCCATGTGGTTAAATTTAACCAGATTCATCAATCATTTTATTTATGCATTCTGGTGTCTGTCAAACTTAAATTAATTTCTGTTTTAATGCATGTTGCAAACTGGAGAAAAAGCATTAGGTTGAGAATCAGATCCAAGTTCATGGCCAGCAGACCTTCCTTCTTCGAACCTCGCCCATGCCTTCGGTGAAATGAGCGGGTTGGACTTCGCTCTCTAAGTCGTCAGCACCGGGCTGGGTGCTGGGGACACAGAGGATGAATGGCGAGGCCCTTGTTTTCATGGCCAAGTGGGGAAAGACACGTCACCCAGGAGTGAGGGGCAGTGGCTGGGGGCTACGGTGGAGGACCCGGTGTGTATTGAGGGGCCACCTAATGCAGCCTCGGGAAGGGGAAGAGGAGGGTGGGTGCCGGAGGTGAAACAAGGGATTTCAAGGAAGGTGAGACGGGGGCACAGTTTTGATGAAAAGGAGTTATTCTGGCAATACCTGGGTGGCATGGGGTCGGGCAGAGTGGGTGACAGAGGGGAAAGCTTTCAAGGTAGAGGGGAAGACCTGCAACAGCATGAGGCACCGGAGGGGCTGTGTTGGGCATGTAGGGGGTGGGAATAAGAAATAAATATTACGGCTGTCCTCGGACCTCTCCCCAGTCACACCTCTCTGCCTCCCCTGAATGTTGGCAAGAACACACTGCTGCTGGGTATGTCAGATGGCGCAGTTGGTCTTAAATGTTCTCGCCACAAAAAGGGAATGACGATCCCCTGACCTGATGCAGGTGTCAGCGAAAGCTGAGGTGGGAATCATATTGCACTGTGTGACTATCAAAGCAGCACGTTGTACACCTTAAAGATGCACGATGTCACATGTCCATTACGTCTCAGTTAAAAAAATGGCACAGTTGCTTCAGGGAACATGTTAGCAACATTCAGTGAAGCTTTGGTGTATATCCCCATATCATCCAGTAATTCTACCCCCAGGTGGTGGAATTACCTGCACAGGTAACCACGAGGAGGTATGTATGAGAAAGCCCATGGCGGCAGTGTTTGTAATATGATGGAAACTTCACTTTCCATCAACAGAAAGGTGAACCAATCCGTTATAGCTATTTGCACCGTAGAGTACTGTCATGAAAACGTAAGTCACAGAGCCACGTGCATAACAAAGATAAATCTCAAAAATACAGTGTCACCCTAGCCAGTTTGATTCAGTGGTTAGCGTGTCGGCCTGTGGACCAAAGGGTCCTAGGTTCAATTCCGGCCAAGGGCCAAGGGCAGGTACCTTGGTTGCGGGCTTGATCCCTGGCTGGTCAGGGCACGTGCAGGAGGCAACCAATTGATGTGTCTCTCTCGATCAGTGTTTCTCTCTCTCTCCCTTCTACTCCCTCTGAAAAGCAATGGAAAAAATATCCTAGGGAGAGTTGAAAAACAATACCCGAAGAATACATGCGGCTTGCCCACATTTATCTGGGGTTCAGAGACATGCACACTAGGCCCACATTGTGTTAGAGACACATCCCCACGCAGTAAACACACAGAGACAGGCATGGGAGTGGTGCACGCCACACCCCCTGCGGCTGCCCCTGGGGCGTGGGCAGGGAAATGCACCTCAGCTGACTTGGTATTTTCCTTCTTAAGCAGAGTGGGGGCGTGGGGCACATGCTTGTTTCTCAAAATATTCTTTTAAAAAATTTTAATAATGTATCTGCTTTACCCAATATTTTCCCAAATTATCATTTCAGCATGTAATCAATGTAAAAATTATTAATGAACTATTTCACGTTCCTTTTCCCAAACTAAGTACTGTATTGGACATTTGTAATTTACACTTAGACACATCTCAGTGGGGACAACCACATTTCACGAGCTCACTAGCCACACCTGGCTAATGGCTACTGGACTGTACAGCGCAGGTTGACACATCTCAAGCAGAGGCTGAATCAGGTGACCTCTGAGATTTCCTTTCTCATTTCCAAGCAGAGTAGAACATATGTGTGAAATGTGGTCTCTCTCTCTCTCTCTCTGTGCCTGCAGAACCGGCTTCCCAGGGCCACCTGGACCTCATGGAGATCATTGGTCTCCCTCTGTCCCCCTCCGTGTCCTTCGTCACAGGCTATGGTGGCGTCCCAGCCTACAACTTCGGGCCTGGTGCCAATGTGGGCCGCCCGGCCAGTGTTCTCATCCCGCCCACTTTCTTCCGGGACTTTGCCGTCAGTGTCATCGCGAAGCCCAGCAGTGACCAGGGTGGCGTGCTCTTCGCCATCACAGATACCTACCAGACGGTCATCCACCTGGGCCTGCAGCTCTCGGGCGTGGAGGATGGGCACCAGCGGATCACCCTCTACTACACGGAGCCCGGCTCCTCCGTGTCCCATGAGGCTGCTGCCTTCTTGGTGCCTGTGATGACCCACAGGTGGAACCGTTTCTCTGTGACCGTCAAGGGCGAGGAAGTGACCCTCCTGGTGGACTGTGAGGAGCACAGCCGCGTCCCCTTCCAGCGGTCCTCCCGGGCCTTGGCTTTCGAGCCCAGAGCAGGGCTCTTCGTGGGTAGTGCAGGAGCCAGGAAGCTGCAGAAATTCATCGTGAGTCTAAGCCCTGCAGACCAGGGAGGCCACTGGACACCGTGTAGCAAACATGAGTGACTACGCTTGCTATTAGTTTATCCTTATGTCCTCGAAGAGGCATGCACACATGGTGGGAAAAACACTGGGCTGGAACCCAGTACCTAGGTCCCAGCCCTGAGTTTTCAGCATAGCCTGATGGATCAGAGTACCTGGGTCCTCTGATCCTCTCTGTATTTTTTTATCTGGTAGAGAGGAAAAGAAAACCTGCTCCATGGAGTTGCAGAGTCAGTGAGAGAGCCTGTGTGAAGGCACTTTGTTCGTTTATAAAGAGGAGGGTTTGCTAGATCCTTCAGTGACTTTTGTCTTTGGAGAGGGGTGCAGATGCAGTCGTTTCTGCAGAGGAGCAATAAGCTAGAATGCCCGAGGGAGAGAGTTTCTCTCTCTCCTTTTGGACAATGTGTCCTGAAAAAATATCAGAAAACTGATTTTACCATCAGAATGGGCTTTTACAAACAAGCCATTATAAAGAAAACCCCTACGTTATTGTGGTTATTAGTTTAGGCAGCACATGTACTGACTTTGGGCTCCCTCATTCGAGACAGTGCTGTGGGGCGGAGTTTGGGTTTATTTGTAGTATGACTGGAAGACTGAGAATTTTAAGAAGTTAAAATCTAATGAACAATTTTTAAACACCACTCTGGGTGGGTGTGGAGAATGAGTTGTCAGGTGTGGGAAGAGGAGGAAAGAATGGAGGGAGGGAGGCTGGCTGGCAGCTCTTCATGGGACAAGGCCTTGCAGCCGAGAAGCTTTCAGCTACAGGGGACAGACACGTTCTGGGAGTGGGGAGACGTGCACTTTAGGGCCTGCCCTTGACAAGTTGGAGGCCTGGGGAGCAGTTAGGAGGCTGCCATGTTAGTCTGTGCTTCGAACACTACTCCCTGAGGGGCTCTCCAGATAGTGGGGCTCAAGTTACATTGGCTCAAGCAGAGTCCCCCCTACATGAGAGAAGGCCAAGAGGTAGTTTGGTTTACTTGTCATAGCCAGCACCACCCTGTCACTGGTTCTGCTCCATTATAAAAACAGTCATGTTTTCACTGGTAGGTGTGCTGTATATGTGCAAGCAGTGGCTTCTGACCCCTCTGCTTTTCCCCAGGGCTCCATACAGCAGCTCACCATCCACTCGGACCCCAGGGCCCCTGAGAAGCAATGCGAAGCCGAAGAATCCTCGGTGAGTCTCCATGTCCCCATCCCAGCCCCTGCCCCCACATTGGGCCCTGTAGCCCAGACTGCCAGTCTGCAAGGGAAGGGCTGGGTGCCCAGCAATTCTTCATCCCCAACGTCACGGCGCCTCTAAAGTCTCTCATCTTGGCAAGTGCCGCCTCAAGTCCTATTTTGGGCTTTTGGGCTTTATTTTATTATTTTTAAGAGTTTTAGCCATCAATTTGGTGTGTGTGGGAGGGGAGGGAGGGAGAGGTGCTTGTTCTAAGGTGTTAGGTTTTTCCGCAGCTGGGGCAGTCAATGGCCTGGTTTCCAGACCTCCTGCCAAGCAAGGGTGCCAGGGTTCTAAAATCGAAGCTAAAACTCTAAGACACCCTGGGTGTAAATTCCTATAAAAAGGAACCTAAATTTAGCTCTTATGATTGGCAAATGAATCAGTTCCTGAGTTGGAAGTGGGGTGGTGGGCCAGGGAAAAAAGGATAGGTCCTTTCCCCCTCCCTCCCTCTGTCCCTTCTTCCTGCCTTCGGTTTTCCAAGCCCCCGCCAGGTGACAGACCTGGGGAGAAGCTAGAGGTAAGGGGATAAACTGGGACTGTGTCCACCCTCTGGCTGCTCAGGCCACACCTGCACACGCAACTCCAGTGACAGCGCCGAGAGTGCTGGCCCAGGGCAGGAGGCGGGAGAGGAGGCCCCAGAGCAGGTCAAGGGGAGTCAGTGCCTGAGCAGCGATGCTCAGCTGGGGGGAAAGGAAAGGCCTTCGGGGCGCAGGGCATCAGAGGCAGGCAGAGCGTGGCATAGCCTAGAACGTCTGTTCCTCTTTGGATGCTGTCAACCCCCAAAATTAAGCCCATTTCACTCATTTAGTAAAGACTGGGGCCGCCTTAGCCGGAGAGCCTCTCCGGGTGGGACTCGGCTCTGTGAACGTTTGCGCTCCTCGAGGCCATGGTCCAGGCCTGGCACGTGTGTGGGGTGGAGAGGAGGGACACCGTGCGTGTTCGGGTTCCTTCATCTCTGCATTACCGTGAACATTGAAAAGCAGACGCTACCCAGGAGCCCACGAATAAGGGGTTGTTTAGAAAAGCACAGGCCACAGGCTCCTGATTGCCATTAGATGGCTAGTTATGAAGATTAGGCAGCAATGAGAAGACATGCGTCCAACGTAACTGTTCCCAACGTAAAATTCTGGTGACAGCCACGCAGATATTGTGAGGGCCTTTTGACGGAGATGAAAGGGAACCTGGACGAAATGCAAGTAAGTAGGTCAGAGAGACTGTAAGTTGACTGTAGTGTTGTTGCTTCTATGTTTGAGCAATAAACATGGAAGGAAACAAAAAATAACTAAGTGTGTGCGCCGTACAGTGCTCCCCTCAGTTTCACTCTGTCTCTGTCCATCTGTCTCCGACACACACACGTTCCTCCATCAGAGGCCGTTTCCCTGATTCCCCAGCTGTGAACTGCTCCCCCTCAACTTGGCGCCATTTGCCTCCACACAGGCATCAGGAGAGACCAGCGGGCTTCAGGAGACAGACGGAATGGCTGAGATCTTAGATGCCGACACCTACACTCAAGCCCCGGTGAGTTCCGGGGTGCCACGGCAGGTCATCTCGGTCAGCTTTTAGGGGCCTGAGAGTTCCTGGAGACTGCCCAGAGCCCAGGTCTCACATCTCTGTTCTCTGATCTGTGACTTCCATCATCAGCTCATCTGGGGAGGGCAGGAAAGTACTGGCCAAAAGGCATTTTGCAAAATCCTCAGTGCACGGGAACACCAGTTACCGGAGTGCCACCCTGTGCTGTACCTATGAGAAGACTGTCCAGAGGTAAACATTGTGCTCTGTTGCCTCTCCGCTCTGTGGCCTTGAGTAACTTGCTCAGCCTCTCTGAGCCTCAGTTCCTCGTCTATAAAACAATAATCAGAGTCCTATCTCGTGGGGTTGTTGAGAGGGTTAGATGAGACAGCGCAGAGCCAAGTCTCAGCCTTGTGCTTGGGATGAAGGATGTGTCCCTCAACGGTGGCTATTGTAACGTTTGTTCAGGACTCTGGCTATGAGAAGGAAGCCAGGGCCCCTACTCCTGCAAGTTGGTCAGTACTCGCAGGAGTTCCTTTCTGACCCCTTGGGAAAGTCAGCCATCCTCCCAATGGCCCAGGCCTCCTCCCTCCTGGGAATGGGCCCTGTGTCCCAGACAAGGAAGTGGTGTCAAAAGCACTGAGTCAGACTGGAGACACCAAGAAGCTCATTTTAATGAGGACAGCCAGCAGTGTCTGACTCACTGAACACAGAGGCCCCAGCAATCTCCTCAACTGGCCTGGCTCACTATACAAACACGTCTCTGATAGAAGAGCAGAGAGATGGAAACATGGCAGAGGCTGTAAATTATAGACCTCTGGTGACTGAGATGTGGATGGGGAAGGACAGGACCATAATCTGTTAGTGCTTTTCTGTGCAAAGGTGTGCAAAGGTGCCCTTTCTACAGATGGGCAAACTGAGGCCCAGTGAGGGGAAGAAACTTGCTCTAAGGAACATGGAAAGAGCTGGGGCTAGAGAACAGGTCCCCTGATGTCCCATCTGGGGTTCAGGCCATGACTCTGAGCTGCTGGCCCGGGTGGTGCTGTAGAAGCCCATCCCCAGGCCTACAGCCAGTTCTTAGGCAACTTACATATAAGAAGTCAAGGGTTCCAAGTGGCTGCCTTGGCAGTGACTGCTCTGAGCAGTGTTGCAATCCTGTGTGCCCATCAACCCTTGGCCACTCCATCAACATGTCCAGGGCACAGAGTGGTAGCCACTTGGGCCTTCTAGCCTGACGCTGCCCCCCGCTGCGCCAGTTCACAACTACAAGTGAGGCCGACTCAGGCAGAGATTCCAGTAACCCACAGTGGCCCTGGGAGAGGGCAGTGGGATTTGAGAGCATGAGATGATCACGGGCGTGGAGCTGGTCATGGAGGGCTTTCTGATGGAGGGGGCATTGCAGATGGGCAGCTTTGGACAGAAGTAGAGAAATGGTAGGGAAAGGAAGAGAACCGGCTTTTTTCGACACCCATTGTGTAGCTGGTGCTTTGTATGTATGACTTAATTTAATTCTTGCAACAACCCTGCAAGGGAGATGGATGCTCAGGACAGAGTGGCTTTGCCAGGGTCACATGTGTGTTAGTGGAGTCAGGATAGTAGCTGGGCCTCCTCTCCTGGGCCAGAGTATGCAGGGCAGAGCCGATGGGAATGAGCATGGAATAAATCCCCTAAGTGTCTGGAGAGGTGAAAAAGATATTTGATGAACTCGGTGGCCTCTGGGACACCCCAAATACTTTCCTTCCTAGATTCCCCAACCCCACTGTCCTCAGTGGTTTTAAGACAACTGGTGTAGCGCAGAGTCCCACCAAGTATGAGTTCTGCTCTGCCACTTACTGGTTGTTGACTTGGAGCCAGTAACTTCACCTCCTGGAGTGTCAGTTTCCTCTTCAGTTAGATGGAGCAGACCAGTGTCAGTGGGAGAGTAGGATGCATTGACCCCTGGGAAACTCATGGGCTGGTCTATTGTGAGGATTGAGGTGATGCGTTACAGTGTCCGTTCCTCCTGGGAAACTCTTGTGGCTGCCCTTAGTCCTTAAGAGCCCCCCCCCCCACCATCTCATCCCCAGGGCTGTGGCTCTGGCCTGGAGGTCCTGGAGCTGCGGGTCCTGAGGCTGCAGAGCGCTCACTCTCTCTAGCCTCCTTTGCAGGGCTGTGTTTTTCCCTTCATTCCCCAGAGGGTGCACTGAGGCAAAGAGGCGTCTGAGGCTGTCAGCGAGGAGGGAGCAGGGCCAGGTCCCCCAGGGAGGGACCAGAGTGGCCCTAGTCATGTCACCCAGAGCTGGGACTTCCCCTTTCACCATCTCCTGCAGGGTCTCCATGGCTGCCCTTCCTGGCCACCCCTCCAAGTGGAGGGAATTTCCCTCTTACTCTCAGACATTCCCCTCCCTCTCTGTCTGGCTTCTCTCTTGGAATGAATATTACTTCCCTGCCCTCACCCTTTCCAACTGCCACCCTTCAAGACAAAAGCCATGACCTGCAAACTGAATCATGGACTTAAGAGCCAGCCCCTCCTCACCTCCTTCCCCATTTAGGGTAAGAGTCCCTTCTCCCCCACTCTGCCCCCTACTAAGTCAGCTTCTGCTGACACGCCTTTCCATTTCTGGAAAGTTCTATCTTATGCTGTGTTAGAATTCATATCCCTATACTTCTCAGCCTGGCTGTGCATCAGATTTGGGGGGGGGGGCGGACAGTGAGAACGGGGAGGTCTTTTAAAAAAGGCTCTTGCCTGGGCTGATATTCAGACTCAGTAGATCTAGAGCAAGGTTCAAGAATCTGTACTTACAAAAAAAAGCTTTGCAGGTGATTCTGACCCATAGCCAGGATCTCTCTTCCAGCCACACCCAAATTCTCACAGATCCCCAGACACACCCAGCACTTTCCCCACTAGTGGAAACCTTCGTTCCTGGGTTCTGTTTGCAAAAAGGGCCCTTTCTGCCCCCTCTCTGCCTGGCCAATTCCTATTTATCCTTCAGGATCCCGTCCCAGCCCCTAGCTGGAGGCCATTGCCAACTTCCCTCCTCGCACTTGGCTCTCACTTCTCCTATTCCATGTGTCACAGAAATCACAGTTAGTTGTGTCTGGGTCTGGGTCTGAGTCTCCCCATAGTTCAACAGTTTGAGGACAGCCACTCTGTCTTATTTATTCATTTCCTTATCCCCAGGGATTAGCCAAATTCCTGACACACAGTAGGGCTTCAGGAAATATGTGTTGAATATGAGTGAGGACTCAGCAAATCACCATACTTTTAATAAAAAAGTCTTAAGACTCAACATTCCTATTTTTGTCACAGGCCACACTGGTTCTCCATCCACATTAACCCCTGAAAACCAGCAGCTGCTTGTTGGGGGCAGGACCCCTGACCCTGACCACCAAGGGTCAGCTCACCAGATTCACCCTCTGCCCTTGAACAAGGACTTGTGGCTGCCTTGTTTTTTGGTTGATAGACTGGAATCAGTGATTTCATGTAATTCAATCATTGCCACCTTGAGTTACAGAGCTCAGCCCATCCTCACCTTGCTGTCCTGCATCTCAAAGCCCAAGTCCCTTGTAAAGCAACTTCACTTCCATCCACCAGCAGCTTTGCTCCAGGCTAGAGATGGGATTTCTTGAGACCATCAGGGGGCCCTGGCAGGAAGAGGAGAGGAACTGCCTACGATCCACCCTTCAGACCTTACTCCCCTATTAGGTGGCCAAACAGCTGGGGAGAAATGGGGAATCCTAATGGTTTTCACATCTTCTCCTGGGCTGGTCCCTGCTCTCTGCTCCCTCAATACCACTCTGGTTCCTGCCTCACTGGCTTCTTCAGTGCAGTCTCCTGGTCTCTTGGCTTAACCTCAACTCCCTGAACCCATGCTCTCATTGGCACTAGGGTGAACTCCCCAAAGTATACACCTGCCCAGGCCACCCCCAGCCTAACACCCCACAGATGCCCCAGATCCAAGGCCAGACTTCTCACCAAAGAACTGGCCCCACTCCCTCTCTCTGTCTCCTGGCTCTGTCCCCCATTTTTATTATTTAAAAAGCTACCACTGCAGATAAGTAAAGGGATAAAAAAAAACAATTATCTTTGATACCAGAGAAAATCACTATCGAGGTGTTGTTCTTTCTCAAACTTTAGAATTCTAGTGATGTTGACGACAGCTGCCATTGGTGAGCTCATACCATGGCCTGTGCTGAGCACCTCCATGCACTTTATACCCTGTAAGTAGTTATTATTGGCCCCATTTTACAGAGGAAGCTAAGGCTTAGTGAGGTTATATGGCTTGCCCAACATAACAACACTAATAAGTAGAGAGCTGGGATTTGATCCAAGATTGATTGTAAGAACTGAACCATTAAATCCTAAGTTATGAGGCCCATAAGAACCCTCCTTGCTCTGATGGACCAGAGATTCATTGTTTATACACTAGATTCTGACATTAAGGAAATAATTTTCTACTATTAGTCAAGATAGGTAAGTGATGGCTATAGTCACAAATTAACCTGGAAATCTTTTTCTTTTTAAAATATGTTTTTACTGATTTTATTTTATTATTATTATTTTTTAAATATATCTTTATTGATTTCAGAGAGAGAAAAGGAGAGGGAGAGAGAGATAGAAACACCAATGATGAGAAAGTCATTGGGGATCGAGCCCTCAACCTGGGTATGTGCCCCGACTGGGAACTGAACCTTGATCTCCTGGATCCTAGGTCGATGCTCAACCGCTGAGCCATGCCCGGCCAGGCCTTTTTACTGATTTTAGAGAGAGGGAGAGAGAGACAAACATCCATGTGATAGTAAAACAGCGATTGGCTGCCTCCCGCATACACCCCGACAAGGGATGGAACCCACAACCTGGGCATGTGCCCTGACTGGGAATTGAACCAGCAACTCCTTGGTGCATGGGAAGGTGCTTAACCAACTGAGCCACAGCGGCCAGGGCTAACCCTGAAATCTTAACGTCGTTGTTTCTCGTTCACATCACAGGTCCAATACTGGTCAGCAGGGTCCTTTCATTCACCCTCTAGCCCCTTGAGCTCAGAAAGGGATAACACTGAATGCTGGGTCTCCGGAGCTGCCACCTGAGCCTGGGCCTGGGGGTGATGTCATGACCTTTGCTGCGCCCACTGCCTCCCCTACCCCCACCCCAGCCAATCAAGATTTCTACCTAGATCTCTGAACTGCTCTGTGTTTCCCACTGTTACGGGGGGTTCGTTTGTTTCTTCTTTCCTAGTTGGTAAAGTCGGTTGAGATATTGACTGACTTTGGAAAAACTACGCAGAAGCTGAAGTGTCCTAGAAAGGGAACCACACCCATCTTTTAATTTCAGAGGCATTCCTGACCAGCACGCATCTGGGATTGGATTTACACAGTGTTCACTGAGTGCAGCCTGCTTCATTCATTCCCTAATCTAGCAGATCTTTGTGGAGCAGCTCCTCCATCCTGGCCTGGGACATGGACTCGTGGTCTCTGTGCTCAGAGGGCGTCAGGCAGGTTTAGCAGAGTTTTGCTATAAATGGAATAGAACTAAATGACCCCTCCATGTACCTTTTACGGGCCCTGGCGGGTTCAGTGATGGCCCAGGGGCACCATAGCTTTCTTCTCGGTTTATTCAGCACTTTAGGGGTATGTTCTTTTCTCCAGTGATATTCACTGCCATTGTTTTCTGCTTTCCTGTTAAGTAAATCCTTTGAATCTCATTTTTTCTCCCCTCAGCCTAAAGAAACAAAAGTTGAACCCATAAACACGCCTCCAACTACATCCCCTCCCTCTGAGGATGAGGAGCTTTCTGGTGAGCCTATACCTGAGGGGACCCCGGAAACCGCCAACCTGAGCGCCATCCTGTACAGCAGCACTGAGCAAGGCAAGTCCTGGGTGTGCCTTCCCACACCGTGGTTTTTTATCAGGTGATGACTGTGTGCCCAAAGTCACCCAGCCAAAGCTCTATGGCTTGTAAACGGCAGAGCTGGCTTTTCATCTTGGATAGCTGAACTTTCAATCCCCAGGCTCCAGCCCTCCAGAAGGACCTGAGGTTTAACAGAAAAGCTTGTAATAATTGTTGCTGCTTATTAAATGCCTACTGTGTGCCAAGTGTTTACATCATCCCCAAGCCCAACCACACATCTCCTAGTTGCTGTTATTAGCCAGTATTATACAGATGGAAAAAACAATGTTTGGAGAGGTAAGTGATGTGCCCACAGTCACACAGCTAGTGAGTGGTGGGACAGGGCCAGTGCCCAGGCCTGACTCCAGAATCCCCACCCTTCCCACCCTGGGCCACAAACTCCCCGATTCTCAGGGGATCAGGCCATCTAAACTCCTCTGTGGCACATGTAGAAAAACTAATTAATAGCCAGAAAGGGGCAGGCACCCAGGAAGTCAGTAGCAGGCCCTGGGGCAGTCTGGCCTCTTGGCTCCCTATCCAGGGCTCTGGTCCCTGCCCAGCTATACAGAGGAGCACTGGCAAAAACCCAAGATCTGACGTGATCCCCCAGGCAGCAGCTTGACATGTGCCTCAGGCCTGAGATCTGCCTGCATTTTCTGCTCTTTATCAGAGGGATAACTGTTTCAGACCAAAGTTATAGCCAATGCCAGAGCAGCGAGATTTAGGTACAAGGTCTAAAAACAACCCAAATGCCCACAGTAGGGACTGGTTAAACAAATTGTATTTCATTCATATATACAGCCCTGAAATTGGTGATGCAGAAGACTAAATGGCCCAAGGACATGCTCAGAGTATACTCCATGAAAAAACACCTTTCAAAACTATATGTGTGCTATGACCCTAATTTTGAATGTTATTTATATTTATATCTAGCCACATAGAACAATGTGAGTGTATGTGCCTTTGTGTGTGCTAGGATAATATACAACAAAATGCCATGAGTAATATTCTGTGGGCGGTAGGATTGTGGGTGGTTTTAATTTTCTTTTTATGTAGTTCTGTAGTTTACATGCCTTTTTATAATCCTACATATCATTGTTCTTTATACTTCTGCCATCAGTAAATGAAAGTTATTTTAGTAATGAAACTAAGGAAGTCTGTGGGTGAGAGAAGGTATGCAGCACTGAGTAGAAAAAAATTGTATGATAATTTCATAAAGTCACAGCACAGCCAAGGAGTCAGGGTGTTGCTGTGGAAAGACTGTGGGGCTGGCTGGGAGCAGACAGCTTGGCCAGAGGCCCAGCTCAGCCACCTATTGCCTGTCGGGGCTGGGGCAAGCTGCTTAACTTTTCCAAGCTTCAGATTTTTAACTGTCCAACGTGCGCGCTCACAGTCCCCATGGATGAGAGGATGTGGAGGTAGTTTATGAACTGCAGTGCGCTTCTCCTGGGCCGAACTGGGATTTCTGAGGAGGGGAAGGACGGGCCAGAGGCCGCGGGGTCAGGATGAGGGCTTCTCCTAAACTGAGGGGTGAGTTCAGAGGAGGAGGGAGCCAAATGCAGACTGGGACCCAGATCCAAGCACAACTTGCCTGTTCCCTGGGATCGGCCAGATTCCTTCTCTGGCAAACAAAAGGCCAAACGAAAACAACAGAACCAGCTGAAATGTTCCCGTTCTTCTTGTTGGGTAGAATGTCCAGATGGTGAGGGAAATGGGCCCGAGAGCCCCACCTACAGTTTTATTCCAGTGTCCCTGACACCTTCTTGCCCCAGGGCATGGGCTGCTCTCTCCTCCAGCCTCCAAGGGGTGGGGACTCAGAGGTCCAGAGTTGGGCCAGCTGCTTGCACAGCACCCCCTGGTGGTAACAACTGGGAAGATGCAAGAGAGTGATGGGGATGCCCGTGTGCAATGGATCCTGTGAATAATAGAGCACCCCCCCTCACCCACCAACACACACACTGTTCATACCATGGGACATGCATAAAGACAGCATGTGTGCAAATGTCTGGGCATGGGGACAGACTGACCTGGCTTCAAGGGCCTCTCTCAGCCACTTGCTCTCTGTGGGGCCTGTTTCTTCTCTTGGGAATGGGGTTAATAAATAATAAGGTATTGATGTGCAGATCAGAACAAGACACACACTGCATGCAGCGATAGCGGGGAGACTGAGAATGCAGGGTTCTGTCCTGGCTCTGCCCACGAGCTGCAAGGTGGTAGGAAGGTCCTTGTAGGCAGGTCAGATGGGTTAGCGGGAAGGTTGAGAGAAGGCATGAGTCACGCTTAGCCTGGAGTCCAGCCTGTAACAGACATGTATTCATGTTAGTATAATTTCTTTTTCTTTGCTTTAGGACTCCATGTGTTTTTTAAATTGCAGAAGAAGTAGGTCTTTGTGGTAACAGTTTAATCAACGCAGAGTTATATGAACCAAAAAAATAGTAGTTTCCTCCCCTATCCTCAGGTCAGGAGGAAACCAATATTAAGTATTGTGGTTTAGCCAATGTGTATTGTATATCAGCACACACACACATATCCATATATATCCATATATTATGTGTTACATAATAACTATATTAATTATATAATGTTGATAAAACATGTATACTCATAGCTTTTTTCCCTTTACAAATATAGAACCACACTGACAATGAACATTTATTGATGTCTAACTCTATGCCAGGGGCTGTCTTTGATGCTTTCCTTGTATTAATTTATTTAATCCTTGTAGTACATAATACTCAAAACAACTGGGGAATTATCCCCAGTTCACAGGTGAGGAACCTGAGACACAGTTAAATGACTTGCCAAAGCGGGGTTCCAGCCTTGCAGTTGGTAGCAGAAACTGATTGAAACCACATGTATATTGCCTTCAGTTTGCTCAGCCAGCCCCTACTGTGAGCATCTGGGCCGTTTTTTGTTTGTTTGTTTGTTTGTTTTTGTTTTTTAAATCTCATCGGTCCTATTTATTTATTTATTTTAAATATGTCTTTATTGATTTCAGAGAGAGGAAAGGAGAAGAAGAGAGAGAGATAGAAACACCAATGATGAGAGAGACATTGATCGGCTGCCTCCTGCAAGCCCCAGACTGGGGATCGAGCCCACAACCGGGGCATGTGCCCTGACCGGGAATCGAACCTCGATCACCTGGATCCTAGGTCGATGCTCAACTGCTGAGCCACGCCCGGCCGCGCTGCGCTGTTTTTTGACCTTGTACCTAAATCTCAGTGCTCTGGCGTTGGCTGTAACTTCAGTCCGAAATGGTTATCCTTCTGCAAAAGAGCAGAAAATGCAGGCCTTGGGCACATGCAATACTGCCTTGTTGTTTTGTGTTTTCTTTTAATCTTGTATTCTGGGCATCTTTTCAAGTCAGTTGGTGAAGATGTACCTCTCCCTTTTCAAGATGCAAAATGCAGTTATTAATTGCAGAATGCCTGCCTCCTTAGGGTCTGGTGAGAGCCTGAATGACACGCTGGAGGGGGTTCCTACTGTGAACAGTGCCTCCGTTACAGACTCTGGCTCAGGGGATGGGGCCTTCCTTCATGTCACTGAAGAGGTGAGTGAATGGTAAATGTCATTTGGTTTGTCAGTGGTAAATTTGTTTGCTTATTTCAGACTTGATGGCAACTTGTATTGGGCACCATAGAGGACAACAAGGGTTTTAGTTAAACGTGGTGGAGACTGCCTCCCTCCTGCTGAGACGGAGGCAGCAGGAGTCCCAGGGCTCCAGAGGCTCTCCAGGGATGCACCAGGACGGGGAGGAGATGCAGCTGGTCCTCACACCTGCCCCAGGACGAATGCTGGGTCCTCACCATGCTACTCGCCTCCCTCCCACTCAATTGTGAAGATGCACAGCCTCTTCCGCTCTTTGAGCTCCTTCAAGACAGAATGAGATTAACTGCAGGAGCGTCCACTGTGTGGTTGCATAATTGGTTTTTGTACCTGCAAAGTCAATTTTTAAAATGCCGGACACCTTTGGGTACCAAAGTAAAACAAATGTATTTTTCTCACAACGGCCTCTGCTAACCCCCACAGGGTCAGGTCATTCTTTCCACCATCCTGAGATGAAATTCAGGTATTCTCATACTCTCCCAGTCCCTATCTGATAACAGCCTATTTGTACAGGTATTTTCAAAGTCCAGTCCAGAATAACATAAAAAATTCAGTCCCTTTGTCTCCCAAATTCCGAGGAATACATATCCAGCTCACCAAATGGTTTATAGGGAACAGAAGGGAGGGGAGAGCCATGGAAACTTAACATTCTCTCCAAAGGGATTCTTATTCTCCCCAGAAGAGTTCTGTTCTCTTTCCTGCATGGCCTGGAGGCAGGGCATTATCTCTCAGCACACCCCACATAAGTGGCTTGGTTCCTCCTTTTAGCACGTGGAAGTTACCTGATGACAGTGGAATTGTACTTACCTTGTACAATTAATTAGTTAATTATAATTAGAAAACCTTTTTGGGACTTTAGCTGAAGTTACATCAGAAAGAGTTTCATTTTAAATTCTGTGACATTTTCTTCTCCCTGGTTGTTTAGGACAATAATTCTGCAAGGATTTAATATGTTATATGAAAAAAAAGTTCTGTTGTCAAATAAATTTAGGAAACACACCACTTATATCTTTCTTATAGGCTCTGAAAAGTCCTTCAGCAAGGAAACCTGTCTGACTTTGCTCAGCTTTCAGTATCGAAAGAACTGTTTTTTTGCAAACCAAACCAAAACAACCCCAAATTTACACACACACACACACACACACACACAAACCCCTTGGGAAACTGAGATAAAACATAGTCACTGTGGGGCACCAACAGCCAAGGCTGCTCTGTTTCCACTTCCTGCATCTGGAAGGTAAGTCAGAGAGAAAGGGAGGAAGCAGGTGTCTAGCCTAAGGCTGAGCAGGACGGAGCTGCTGCCTGCATGTCTCAAGCATCGTCATGGGCAGAGACCTTCCACTTGTTCTTATGGCTTCTGGATGGGTACATAAGGGAAGTCACAGGAAGCAGACACCTCTAGGCAGAGGTGTTGGAGCTGGAATGGGCTGACTCGGGGCAGTGAACTCTCAGCACTGGCGCATGCAAACAGGTGCCATGCAGTCTCTCCTGTTCCTGGGATGCTGTGATTCTGGGACCGTCGTGGGGCTGGGGTGAAGTCCAGATAAGAAGGCACTTCGAGGGAAAGAAGCTACAGAAATGCATGTTGAAGGAGGGGTAGCGACAGTCTGTTCTGTCCAGCGACAGGCATGTTGATCAGGACTATGGGCCCAGTGACGTGGTCCCTTGCAATGCCTTTGTTTCAGGGTCCACGTACTGAAGAAGGTTTGGCAGCAACAGCAGCAGCTGGAGGCACTGAGATAACCACCAGCATTGCAGGCGAAGCAGAGGCCGGCAGTGTGCCTACCGGGGGGCCAGCTCTCTCCATGTCCACCCAGGATCCTGGGGAAGGGGCCACTGAAGTAAGTAGCTTGGAGTGCATGCTCTACTTCACCTCTTTCTGGGGGATGGTGAGCATCTCAGGTGGGAGCAGTCACTGGCCTTCTTCATCTGTCTGCAAAATGCAGAATTACAGCCTTGTGGGGCCAAGTTCAAGGAGGGAGTGAGCTGTCTGTTGACTCACTCAGCAGACGTTGGGGTGCTGCTGTGCTGGGCACCAGGTAAACAGGGTAGACTGCTTCCTGGGGACAGAGAGTAAGAGGTGCAATAGGAGAAGCACACGGAGCTCTGGCAGCACCAAAACGGGAGCCAGAACCCAGACTTGTGGGCCCAGGAAGCCCTCCTGGGAAAGGATGTTGAAGGTGAGACCAAGGAGATGTATAGAAGTGGCCTAGCAGATAGGAGACAGGTGTTCCAGGAGGTGGAGCAGTAGGAGCAAGGGCCTGGAGGCATCACCATGAGCACACCAAGACCTAAGGAGGTATGGTCTGCCAGCATTCGGGGTCAAGAGTGAGCGAGAGGAGGCAGGGAGATGTGGTTGAAGGGGGCCTCTGAGTCCAAGGAAGCCAGGAGAAGGAACCTGAGAGTGCTCAGCAGAAATGGGGAGTTGCTAAGGGTATTAGAGAAGGAAGTCATGTAGTCAGAGTAGGTTTTAGAAAGATCGCCTGGCCCTTAGTCGAGAAAGGATGGGGGAAACAAGCCTAGAGGTGGGCTATGGTTCAGAGGCTGTGTCTCATTCCAGGCGAGGGTGGTGGTGGCTTGCTCTGGGTTTGGGTAACAATGTCAGATCCTGCCAGGATTCCCACTGAGTAAAAGCTTGAAGAGCAGGACATGAGTTGCATCTGTCACAGTGATAATTGGTGACCTTGGGGAGGGCAGTGAGGGGTGTGAAGGATGGAAGGCAGAGGGCACTGAGCTAAGAGAGAAAGGCGAGGAGGTGGTCAGTGAGGGTATCCAACCGCTCCCCCTAGAAAGCTGTGCATCCAAGACCTGGGTTTGGTCCCAGCACCACGATTTGGGCCCTCAGTAGAAGCTTCACTCTCAGGAGCAGTGGCAGGTAGATGGCAGGGACCGGTGAGCATCAGCCACTGAGGTTGGCAGGGAGGAGTGGGATGAACACACAGGCACCGTGCTGGCCAGGGTGCTCACACCTCGGACGGTGGGTACTGTCAGGGTTTCTATGTGGGTGCCGCAGTCAGGGCAGTGGTGTAAGGTGAGGTCTTGGATGCGCAAATGCTTTGAAGAGGAAGCAACAGACTCAGGTGTGGGCTGGCTGCTCTCTCCAGCCACAGGGCCGTGGATCACTGACGTGGTCCCCATGATGTCTTCCTGTTCAGGGTCCAGATACTGAAGAAGGCTCTGCTGAGATACCATCCAGGGAGGCCGAGATGCCCACCAGCACTGATGGGGAAGCAGAGGCCGGCACTGTGCTCAGCAGGGGACTGGCCCTCTTCATGTCCACTCAGGGGCCTGGGGAAGGGGTCACTCTGGTAAGGTGCTGGAAGGTTAGAGTCATGGCTGGGAGCAGACCCTGCCTTCTGTTCAGCAAATCCAGAGGAGCCTCAATGGGTTGGGAGCACCTCCTTGACAGATGCTCCCTTTTGAGGGAGGGTGTGGTGAAGCCCCTGCAGGTCCATGGGGAGCCAGCTAGGGGGTGGGTGAGTCAGGGAGGTGGGGGTGAGTCCCAGGGCTGGTGCAAAGACCACCACCTCCTCGAGCAGAGGCCAGGTCCAGGGAGGGGTGTGCTGGGCCGTTGAGTAGGAGAGGTGACGAGGGCTGAGCCATGGCATGTTTCTGAGCATGAGCACAGGCTGTCAGAGGTCCCCCACAGGTCAAAGAGCACAGCCAGGACTTCTCAGCCTTCTCCTTAGGGGTCCTGGAGACACTGTTCCCAGCTCCAGGACACTTGGCAAGTCTGTCCCTGTAATGTCACTGTAATGGATATCCTGCAAGTTTTTCAAGCTCAGCAGATTTAAACCTAGACTCCTCACCTTTGCTCCTCCTGCGTTCTCACCTCAAATGAATGTGCCCATCATATCCAATCCTAATTCAGGATTCTCTTCCCTCTTCCTTTCTCCCCATATCCTATCAACCACCAAGTCTTATTGATTTTTCTACCTAAACATATGGTGGACCCACCCCTTTCTACCCTTCTCCACTGCCAGCACCTTGCCCTAGGCTGAGCCGTCCGTCCCCAGCCCAGGCGATGGTTGAGGCTCCTGCCTGGCCGACTCCGCGATTCCCCCCAACTTCTCCTGGTGGGGACAGCCATCCTGCAGGCCCTGCTGCCCCACCTGGCCTACAAGGCTTGCAGGGTCTGGCCTGGCCAGGCCTTAGGCCCGTCTCTCCCAGCGCCCAACCTTTCAGCCTCCCTGACCTTGCAGTTTTCCAGCATGCCTCTCCCTGCGTCAGAATCTTCCCACACCACCTCCTCCCTGCCCAGAACCTTTCCTCCCTCCTCCCCTCCTTAGTTCCTGCTTATCCGTCAGAGTTCAGCTCAAACACCACTGTGTCCAGGAGACGCCAGCCCAGATTGTGCAGTCTCCCCACAGACACACTCAGGTGCCCGCACCTCCCCTGGGAAGGTCGCATCGTCACTGTCATGAACAGTAAACGTGGTGAACAGTTCAGCTCCGGCTCCCTCCCAGACGGCACACTCTGCAAGACGGGGATTATTTACATCTTGGTCATCGACCTTCCTTCATCCCTGCACGTGGTGGGGCCTCCCTGAGAACTTGCTGAGTGAACAGCTGGAGGGAGGTGTCAGGCCATCGCACACCAACAGCACTGGCCTTTGAAGTAACTCCACACAGTTGCTCCCAGCCTTCGCCTGTGGCCTGACGTCAACCCAGTGAAACTCGGGGGAGGGTTTGCCCTCCTCAGCAGGCGGCTCTCCAGGCCTCTGGGCAGCCAGCCCCATGGACTGTTTTAATGAACCCAAGGGTCACCACCTCCTTCTTTGCCTTCTTCTCCCTTATCTCTCATCCCTCACCCCTCATTTCCCTCGGCCCCCC